AGCGTGGCACTTGTTCCTAGTAGCTTCTTGTTACTACTAGTAAGGCACCTGTTACTACTAGCGTGGCACTTGTTCCTAGTAGCTTCTTGTTACTACTAGATGTGTTTCTGGCTTTTGCCATGCAGGGTCCAACCCGAACACGTTTCCTGAATCCGATCTGATCCGATCGAACACGTAGGTTGGAGGCCATCGATCAAGGGCACGTCGGCCTTCGAAGGCACGGCGCAGCAATTGCCCTGCTTCCTTTGTGGCTGGCGTGAACTCCTGGGGAAGGTGAATGAAGTGTGAAGTCAAACAGCTTCCCACAGGCAGTTGCCCACAGCATGAAGGAATACAAGTGCCCACAGCATGAATAAAAGAAAGACACAAACACATACAGCCATACAGTTTAAAGAGCACGTGCAAAGCGATTTATATGCGTCTGAAAATGCATGCAACTGCGTCTGAAAATGCATGCAACTGGCTGAATTCGCCATGTTGCCTCGCAAGCGCAGTTATTCGTTTGAAGGAGGCAGGTTGCAGGTTGTTATTCAAAAAAAGAACACATAAGCAAGCACAATGGACATGCAAACACACAACATCCCATGCAACCAAACGCATTGAAAGCACAAAACACATATTTTGAACCTTTCAAAACCTGAGGCTCAAATACTCTTCCAACATTAGTTCTTACTGAGGTGGGTCGATGACAACTAAATCTGACAGCTGACACTGCAGCCTGTCAAGTTTCCCACCAAATGAATAGTGTGAGGGCTTCTTCAAGGAAGCCTGAGCTTGCTTGCGTCCTGCATGGCTTACTAGCTTACTTAAGTCTTTTCCTACAGCGTACCCCCCTTCACGCGGGCGTCATGTTTGTTTTGCTTGATTGAAATAATGCGTCTACTTACTTGAGTCTTGTACATCCAGGCCAGTCCTCCAATTGCAACGCAAGTTCAGTGCAAGCATTCATCGCCTCACATCTTTCAGGCACATCTTGTTGCAAGAACAGGCAACAGCCCTTTTGGTCCCACATTTGATACAAGCCCAAGGGCTCAAATACGAACTCAATCTTTGATTGGAGTACTTGGGAAGCCTATGTTTGAGTCCAACATGCCTCAAGAAACACATGAAAGACGATATGCTAGCAAACCCCTACTTGCTATACTTCACTCTGACTCTCGTCTGACTCTCGTTGACTACTTGCGATGCTTGAGTCAACGAGCATGTCCCACCTGCTTGCTCTTAAATCCATGTTGCTTCTCGATCTCCCTGAGGCATCTTCGAGCCTTGTGGCAACATGAAATCCGCTTGCGTTCTATATGTTGTCATTTTAGCTTTTTTGTTGTGTACTTTTTTGTCCTTTGTCTTACCTTATTTTTAGCCCGCTCGCCAGCCTGCTTAATTAAGTAGGCGCCTACTTAATTACGCAAGGCAACTAGTACGTAAGCTACTAGACTAAGCTAGCTTCTAGGTAGGACGCAGGATAGCGCTCGCACTAAGGTTCCTAGATTTAAAAGGAAACTTCTAAAACATTAGGTACGCACCTACTTCATCAAGTAAGGGTGAGGGCAACTAACCCCTACTAGCTACTGGACACAGGATAGCTCACATTCAAGGAAGCTCCCCCCCTGAGGGCGGGGGACCTCCTTGAGGAAGTACTTACACTATTAATTTGCTTCCTAGGTGTTTAGGAAAAAAATATCTAGCAATATAGATATAAGGTAAGTGCCGTTTTAATGATAGGGTCCCATGTGGTCTTTAATTAGAGAGGCCCTTACCTTCCATCGTTTCGTGTATTCAAACTATCTATGTGTGTTGTTTTTTCAGATCCTTATAACTTCTAACCTTGTTTCAACGCATCCTTAAGACATCCTTTCAGTTCCACAGTGTCATTCTCTGATCATCATCTCATCGTCCGAACCCTTGGCGCTAAACTCTAGATCCAAAGTAAAGGACGGTTTTAAAGCCAGGGCCTGTGAAACAGCATCTTCTCCAGCACTTGGCCTGGGTAAACAGTGCAATCGAAAGAAGCTAGGACAGAATTCTTCAACCTAGTAAGTAACCAGTTGTCCTTTGTCTCTCCTTCCATCCAGTCACTTTGAGTGCCCTACGGTCCTTCGGAAGCTGAGCGAGTCCTGGTTTCGCCGGCAATTCACACACTTGCACGAACATGAGAAGCAACATGAAGCAACAAGACTGCTGGCTTTGAAGTTTGGCTTTGTCCCGAACGACAAAAAGTCTCAGGAGTCTCGATCGTCGTTAGAACTAGCGATGGCCTTTGTTCCTAGTAGCGTCCTTGTTACTAGTAGTAATGCCAGGAGCTACTAGTATAGCAGTATAGCCAGTATAGCTTCTTGCTACTAGTAGCGATGCCCTTTGATACTTTATTAAGAGCAAGGACGCTACTAGGGGCTCCTGGCCATACTACTAGAAACAATAGAGCTACTATGCTACTATGTTCTTTTCTTTCGTTTCGTTTTTCAATGTTTCTAGTAGCGATGGTCTCCAACAAGTCGTTTCTGTACGTTTCTCAGCAGCCGCGCCCGGGCGGCCCACTGGTGGGTGTAGGTGACCGAGCAGTCACCGGCGTGGGGCTTCGTACACCACTGCCACTGAGCAGGAAATGATTTCAGGAAAAGAGAGCTAAGTCTTCTAGTAAGAAACAAGAAGCTACTAGGAACAAGGGCATTACTACTAGTAGCAAGAAGCTAATAGTAGCTAATTCCCAACTGGCAGCCTAGCAAAGGCCTCCCCCCCTAATAGTGATGGCCTCCACCCTAGTGATGGCCTCCAACCTACTACTTGTACCCCTAAAAATTTCAATCCATCGCTGCTCCATGTCTCGTCATCACTGCCTTCGGAAGGGCGGCGACAAGGACTTCCCGCGGAATTTTGGCATCATGCTCGGTGTGCGTGGAGTTTTCGAACCTCAGAAGAAGAACGAAGGGAACAAGGGCCTTACTACTAGGAACAAGAAGCTACTAGAAACAATATATACATTAGAATTTAGTTAAAATTAGTAGTAAAGGAGGCTACTAGGACCTTTTCGCGCGCGCGCGAGGGCGGGGGGAGGAGCAAAGGACGCTACTAGGGGCTCCTGGCCGTACTACTAGGAGCAAGTCTCAACATTCCTCCTTGGAAGAATTGATTCTTCGTAAACTTCCTCCTTTTTCAACAGTCTACATACTTTGTCAAAACATGCATCCAATTGAAACATCTTGTCGACATATTTTTACTCAAGTATCCAACTTTCCTTCTTCATCTGAGCCTTTTCCTTTCTAAAGCCTCCCCTATACAAATTGTCCCTTCCGTACTTTGCAGGTGCTTCCTTAAACTACTTGTCGTATTTGCTCTGTTTTTGTTCACCTGCTTTCTTCTATTGTTTTTGTTCACCTAAAGTGCAGAATGAGTGTCGTTCAGATGTCTCAAATATCGATATAATCGCATCTCTATGGGCTTTAGATGTAAAAAAAACTTCATCAGCAAGAGCTGTTGCATTCGATGGCAAATACTGTATAAGTTCACTCTCATCGGCACCCCGGCACACCCTCCAACACAAGAAAGGGACCCAAACAGTTTTGAGCTAACAGCATAACCGGACAAAAAAGAACAAGATGCAACAATCTTAGAGCGATGGCCTTCAACCCACGAGTAATAGCAATGGCCTCCAACCTGATAGCGATGGCATCCAATCCATTAGCGGTGAAACATGGACATGCAGAAACACAATAGCCTTAAGACGACAAGAGAACATGTGCGGGTACGGGAGAACTACAGGGCAGCCAGAGGACAACACCTGAATACTATTCTTGATGTTTAAAAACCACTTACCGTGGGCAACCACGATGTAACGAGGTAGGCAGTTTGAGTCACAATATTCAAAAAATACCTTTCAGAAAGAATGACGCACACACACACAACAAGACACTCTAAGAGTTGCCACAAAGCCGGACAACCCTGGTCACGCAGAAAACCACAAAACCATCAACACGTGACCACAAGGGCTTCCATGTAGATATAGAGTTGAGCGGAGTGCCCGAGGTTTGGACAATTCTCACGGATAGGTAGATTGACGTAGAGAGCCTCCACTGTCAGAGTTCATACACCGTTACGCAATGATTTGTGTCGTCACAATGATTTTTGGTTGTCGTGATCTTTGTTACACTTCACAGTGTCAAGCTCTTGTGGATCGTTGCAAAACACAAGGCATGGAAGGGCCACAACACACACACACCAAGCAAAGAGAGAGAGAGAGTGCATTTCCCCGACGATGCAAAGTGCACATTTGACCATGCGTCTCATTCGGCTGTACGCGAGGAGGACATCCCAACAAAGCGCAAGTGCCACAATCAAAAATGAAAACAACATATGTTTGGAAAGAATTATATAAAAAAAACAACAACATAAAGAAAGAAGGAAGGAAAGGAAAGAAAAGGAAAAGGAAACAGAAAGAAAAAAGGAACAACAAAAGAAGGAAAGAACTTAAAGAAGCAAACAGAATAAGCAAAGACGGAATTATATGGTGGGAGGGGTTCCTCCCAAAAAGGCTTCATCCTCACTGACAGACAACGGGCCGGGGTAAGGTATTCAATGGTATTCAAGTCCTCAGGACTGTAGCAGCGTCTTGTCTTGTCAGCCGAAAGCTGTGAAGGCCAACTGTTTGCATTCTTGCTCCAAATCGCAGTGATAACACCAATTGACCTCACCTTGCTCATGTTAATCAAGGGATTGCGTTTACAGAGTGTTGTGACGAAGCATTCTCGTTTCTTCCCTTGGGCCTAGTACCTAGTGTCTACTCTTCTCCTCTCTCTTTCCTCCTTTCTTCTTGATGTATTTCCCCTCTTCCCCTCCCGTTCTTCCTTTCTTCCTTTCTTCTTCTGTTCCTTTTCTTTCCTTTCTTTCCTCCTAGTCCTCCTTACTTTCACATTTCGACTTTCTGTCCAAAATTCACGTAAGCTTTCCGACCGTGCACTGGTGTGGAAGAGTCAGGTGAGCAGCGGCTGCGTGCCCTGCAAGCAAGATGGTGTCCCAAACGACTCCAAGCCCAAAGGAAAGAAAGGAAGAAACATGTCTCGAGGGAATTAAAGAAGAAATGAAAACAAGGAAGAACAAGAAGTAGGGAAATGTTCAAACAACGTTCTTATCATTCTTGTCTCTGAATATATTCTCAAGTTGTAACAGTAAGGGTTTGTTGAATCCATTCCTCCGAGTCCCGAGCATAGAAGCATTCTTGAAGGCAGTAAGTGCATGACACATGACATGGACACCAAAAAAACATTTTGGAGTTGTTTTACTATATACACTGTTCCTAGTAGCTTCTCGTTACTGATAACGATCGCCTCCAACCTACCTGCTATAGCCTCCACCTAATAGCTTCTAGTTACTAGTAGCTTCTGCTGCTTCTTGGTTGCCCTTAAACACGATTGACAGTTCGGCAAAATCCGCCTAGGAGACAGCAAATCCGCTCGCCCTGGAGCCGAAGGTACAGGCACCTGGAACGTACTTTCGGCAAAATAACGGACGAAAAACCCAGAACGCTTTGAATGTTGGAGGCCATCACTATTAAAAACAACCAAAGAAGAAAAGGAAGAAAGGTCTAGACGATGACCATGTTCCACAGGTTCAAGCCGCATTTCAGAGTTCCTTTGAGGCCATTGACACCAGTTAAACCAATCCAAAAACATATGGCGCCAATCTATGGTTCTACCAGTTAATCCAAAGTCCTTGGTACCTTGAAGCAACTTGACACTTCAAACGGTCCGGTCACCTTGACAACTTCAGGCGGTCCGGTCACCAGCACTCGCGTGAGGCGCTCGTGGTTGGCGTCAATGGTCTCAGTATTTACCCTCCAACCTACTAGCCTTCTTGTTACTAGTAGCGATGCCAGGAGCCCCTAGTAGCGTCCTTGCTCCTAGTAGCAAGGCCAGGAACCCCTACTACCTTCTTGTTCCTGATAGCAATGGCCTCCAACCTACTTCTCACTTCAACTCACAAGTGGATGAACGAGCGTTGCAAAGGAAAGAGTTCTCATTCCAAAGACACTGAGGACCACAAGTGGGAGGAACCGGGAGGAACATGTTTGGACCCTTTTGTGAATATCTTTCTACTATCTGCTATGGTCCAAGTTGAAATGAATGGCCAACGTAATGTCTAAGATTCCTGCCAGAACCTTTGGTGGAGCAGAAGTCAATGTGCCCAAGCCCTCAATGAGATCCTTCAGAGCCTGTGCCATCAAAGCCATCCAAGCGCACCAACGCACGACTGCATTCCAAATGAAAAGGGGTGGGTCAGTTGGAGCGACGGCGAGCCGACACCGACACCGCCCCAAGAAGGCCAGAAAATGAAGATCAATGGACCACAAGATTCACCCCATTCCGCAAAACGATGAAGACTAAAGTAGCACTAAACATGTTGTAATTCCCCAAACAGTTTACTGTTAGGGGCTCTCAATGCTTTAAAGAATGGTCGCCTTGGTGCTGGATGGTCTGGTCGGGTTCCCGGCTGGCTTGTCTCCCACTTCTTTCATTTGTCTCCCACTTCTGGAAATTGCCTCCCAGGCTGGGTGCTAGTCGGGTTTCCGGCCAGCTTGTTGTCTCCCACTTTTTCCCCAAACAGTTTACTGTTAGGGGTTCTCAATTCTTTCTTAAGATGTGTCCGCCCTTTGTGTCACTGCCCTTTTCCGCTAACCACGTAACAGTTCTATTCATTTGTCTCCCAGGCCTGTCACTGGTGTCCTCCGCCCTTTTCTGCTGGCCATGTAGCATTTCCATTCATTTGTCTCCCAGGTCTGTCAGTGCTGGTGTCCGCCCTTGTCTTGCTGGCCATGTAGCATTTCTATTCGTTTGTCTCCCAGTCCTGCACTGCTGGTGTCCGCCCTTTTCCGTTGGCCATGTAGCATTTCTATTCATTGTCTCCCAGGTCTGTCACTGGCGTTGTCCGCCCTTTTCCGTTGGCCATGCAGCATTTCTATTCATTTGTCTCCCAGGTCTGTCACTGGTGGTGTCCGCCCTTGTGGTTGTTCTGGCATCATGAAGCAGCGTCTTCAAACAACCCCACTCACTTCCTCCCCTTGCCGCTGACAATATTGGGAAATCGATGAAAACGTTGTGAAATACATGATTATGTTGTGAAAGTGCTTATGATTTATGCGTTGACGATGAAGATATAACTGTTGTCAGGCCAAGCGCTCACTCCCTGTACAGGTGTGGGTGAAAGCCAACACGTCTACAAGGTGTTCGTTCGGTGGACCTGTGGCCCTGCTGTAGTGTTTCCTTTTGGAACACATCTTGCTGAAGTCGCTTTGCAGAATAAATTCTTAAGAAATAACATCTTTTGGACACAGTTTATTGTTTATATATATTTGTTTAGAAAGTCTTTAAAGAACCGATTTAACGGTGCTTTCTGCAATGGACTAAACAACCTTGACGCCATCCATTGAATTTATTGAACTACCCCTTACACAGTTATTCTTTGTCTTTATAATGTTGCACAGTTTATAAGGAGAACCAAGTTCTATAGTTATAGTTATGTGTTTCTCCCATAGTATAACTATAACATATGCAATTATATATTGGCTATGTATGCGAGTTACACAGTATAAAAGCTCTGCAAAAATAGAGTCTACCATTATCGTGTTATTTTTTGTTCCAAATTGTGCGTTTTGAATCAGAGAGGGGGCCACAGAGGGATAGGCGATAAGCGCCGTAAGCGGAGAGAGGAGAGGCTACTACGTAGTGAGGCTTCTAAGTAGCTACTAGGAGCCGTAAAATGCCGCAACACTACTAAGTAGAGAGGAGCGGTAGCTGGCAAGCTAATAGCTAGTTACTTGGGATGCAGGTGGATACAAAGGTTTCAAGGAAGCTCCTGTGGGGGCGGAGGTAAGCTTCCTTGAAGTACCTTTTGCATGATTGAACGCTGATTCTAGATCTTTTGGAAGCCTGAAACTTGGCTTTTTGACCTTTCCGTTTTCCTTCCTGTCTTTCTTACATGTTCCTTCCATACCTGTGTAAACACAAGATGTTCCCAGAAGAAAACTCCTTCGTTGCTGTTTGCACATGTTTGCGTTTAGGCAAAATACAAAGTAGGCGCAGTCTCCGCCTTTGTGGCTTCATCGGTTTCCTCTTTGGCTGCCATCATTTTGGCGCGAATGGTGGCAGCCTGACAGAGTTTGTGCACATTGCGCCGATGTCAAAATGACACGTTCAACCTTGAATCAAGTTTGACAGGAAAGAACACAAAGAGCGAAAGAAAACAAAAAGAACTACAGAAAGGTGTAGCAAACGGTAGAAGAAGGTTGTTGAGGCTTTCACAACTTGCTGTGTCTCTCATTGCGGCCGGATGTGACAATTTAAAGCATGTAGATGTTCTGGAAGACTAGAGATTGAGTAATGACCGACGTGTCGACACGTTCGTATTCAAAGTCCTCAGAGTCTATGGTGGCGCTATCTCACGGCCTTGTTTCACAAGACTACTAGCGATGGCCTCAAACCTACTAGGAATGGCCTCCAACCTAATAGCGATGGCCTCCAACCCAGAAGCGATGGCCTTCAATCTATTAAGAATGGTCTCCAACCTACTACTCTAGAGACCGCCTTGTGATGGCCCCCACCCTAGTAGCGATGGCCTCCACCCTAATAGCGATGGCCTCCGACCTACTAGCGATATATAGCACTTGAAGCTTGGAGCATGACTGGAGCTTCATTTCGGGCCTCCATGCTGGCCCTTTCGTACTCTGCCCTCAAAGCATCATTTTCCTCCCGCTGGCGCATGACCTGCTTGGGGCACCAAGCGCGAAAGCTAGTAGAATTAAGTTTAAATAGCTTCTTGTTACTACTAGTAAGGCACTTGTTACTAGTAGCGATGCACTTGTTCCTAGTAGCTTCTTGTTACTACTAGTAAGGCAGCTGTTACTACTAGCGAGGCACTTGTTACTACTAGCTTCATCCCCCCTAGCTAATATTATGGCATGAAGCTCCAAATAACTGGTAAAATTTGGAGTCTTGCGCAACGGCAGATCCTCACCTGCGCTTCGACTTGCTCCTTCTCCTGCTCGCAAGAAGCATGCTCAATGAGAACACACTCAACAATGGTTGATGCAACAATGTAGAACCCAAAAGCTTCTTAAGCTTTACTTACCATAGCCTACAGCCGACTCCAATCGCCTCGCGCGCAGACTCCAAATCCAACGAAGCTCGCTTGCACTCGACCTCGCATGTCACTTTCACTCCCCGAAGCATGTACACACGTGTGCACAGTAGCGTCCTTGCTCCTAGTAGCGATGCCCTTTGCTAGCAAATAGATGCGCACAGTTGAAAGTGGAAGACGTCGCAAAAGTGCCACAACACAAAGTCTCGCACGGCAATAACTCCCACACCGGCCTCCACCACTTGGAGTTCCAAGGCTTCGGCGGCTACCTGCAAACCGTCGAAACTCCAGCATTCTTGAAGTCTTCTTGTGACATGCGGTAAGAAGGGGTGGCGGTGGTGGTAGTAGTCGTGGTGGTAGCAGTAGTAGTGGTAGTAGTAGTAGTAGTAGGAGTAGCAGTAGCAGTAGCAGTAGGAGTAGTAGTAGTAGTAGGAGTAGGAGTAGGAGAAGTAGTAGTAGTAGTAGTAGGAGTCGGAGTAGGAGTAGGAGTTGTTGTTGTGGTGGTGATGGTGGTGATTTTGTAGTAGCCTCCATTCTTTCAGGCTCGCCTGGTAGTACATCAGCATTCATTCTTTGATTGTTCCTATTGAGGTGCCAACTTGTTGTCATATGTGCTTGGCTGGATGCACTCGCTCACGTTGATGTTGCTGCAGGTGCCGACGTCGGAATTCTTGGATGGAAATACTGTTGAGGTTCAAGCTTCTTGCCAGAAGCTTTGCGCCGCTTCGACAGAATGACGAATCTGTCGGATTTTCCTTGATCGTGGCCAAAAATCATGCAAATATCATGTGGCGGCTCTTGCATTTGTATAGTCGTGGAATGACTAACCGGCTCACTTCTCGACAGTTGTGGGTCCAGTAAGGTCAAATAATTTCGCTCTCGGGGATTGAGCTTTTGCCACCTTGTCACATCAATGCCATGTACTTCAGTAGGTTCCTTTTGCTATTAGGTTGAAGGCCATTGCTTCTAGGTTGGAGAAAAAGATTCAGTTGGAAAGGTGAAGGAAGGCAAAACAAAAAAAGGGAGCAATCCAAAAGGCTAGTTTTGTATTTTTGTCGTTGTGCAATCGCTTCGCTTATTTGTAAATTCGCGCGCGCATGTTTTCGTGCTCATGTTCGCCTGTCACAAGACTGCATGCAGCCTCTTTCAGGGGTCCCTTCTGCAAGCAAAACGGTTCGCCTGGTAGTGATGGGTAGCAATGAAGGCATTGCTGAATCTTGCTTAAGAACAAGACTATTAGGTTGGAGGCCATCGCTAGTAGGCCATTGCTATTAGGTTGGAAGCATTTAGGTCTTCAGCCTTGACAGCCAGGAGTCACAAGTGTTGTTTCAGAGATCTCTGCATGCTCCAACCTGATCCTTCAAGCGATCGCGAGCAGCACCAATCTGCCACAACGGGCTCAGGGTTTGAAGAAACACTCGGCGAGCAACTGAATAGAGCATTGGCTATTGGCTGAATCTGTTTGCCAACTCCAACAAGCAAGATCAAGCAAGTTATGGAGTAAGGGACCTTTGCAAACAAGGTTGGGGATGGTACGATCAAAAAGGGCCGTTCCTACAAAATGTGACAGCTTCAGGGTGCAAGTGGGTTCAAGAATCCTGCTACGTTATGACTGCATTGGTTCTCTTAAACACATCATTTGATCATGTGTGGATCCTCTGCAACGAGGCAACCCAACCTCCTCCAATTGCAGCTTGCTCTCCTGCACCTGGCTTCAAGCACAGCTGCAACACAAGAATCTCCATTCTCAACGGCCTTCCCTTGCGCTACTTTTTGTATAATGGTGTCACCAAACCCTTGGCATACCAAATTTTCTTCTGCCTAATAACATCTTTTCATTTTGATCTTGGCTCAGATCAAACAATCTGTTGACATTTCCTTGCTTGAATTTCCCGCCTGTGATGAAAGGTTGTCATGTGATTGGTGCAACTCGTCTACCTCGGAGTCAGAGTTTTTCTATCTCAGACCACGGACAGCTTGAACAGTCCAAAAAAAGTTGCTGGATCATTCAAACAAGTGACATTCTACATGATTGCACATAAATTGTTAAACCGTAGCTAATCCTTCCCTTCTCCTTCTCACACCATTGTGGCTTTGACCATTCGATGGACATTTGGAAAGCTGAGCATACCAAGACTCAATCAATGCATGCTAGGTGGGATGCTTTTCTTGGCTACTCCCTGCAGCCGCATCTATGTGAAGAAGCTAGCACAGCTAAGCTGAGTTCAAATGATGTTCCTTGAACAAGGCATCGTTGAGAGAAATTATCTTAGCAAAAATTACAAACCCAAACATGTGTAGGCGGCCAAGTTTGCCAAACTCCTTTTCAGTACTGACACCTTAGAGCCAGACATTCTCGGCCAGTTCTCGAAGCTCAGTGCGCAATGATCTGCGGAGTGCCTGGGAAGAAGCTGCCGTTTTCGTCTGCCGGGCATAACTGCATAACATGCTGAGCCACTAGGCTCACTTTAGCGGATGACTCAACTACAGTACTCTCTTACTACTAGAAACAACCGTGTTTTCTCTTACTCGATTTGTCCATATCCTTCTTTTCTTCTCTGTCCTTTAGACCTTCTAGTAACAAGAAGCTAGTAGAAACAGGTGCCACGCTAGTAGTAACAAGTGCCTTACTAGTAGTAACAATGTTTGCTATTAGAAACAATTTTTCAATGTGTCCTTCCTTCCTTCCTTCCTTCCTTCCTTCCTCGTCCGAATCCCAGAACGTCGCTGGAGACCAGATGGTTTCGAAGGATCGCGCCTGATGCCTTGCAATCAACCTCTCATGCTTCTCTTGATCTTCTTCGGCCTAGGCACCCAGGATTTGTAAGTGGGGATCCTTTTGGACAGTCACAGAGATTCAACATATTTCATTGTATATAGTTATACATGGCCTCCAACCTAATAGATATGGCTCCAAATAGTTATCAAACTGGGCTTTGTAGGGGTTGTAGGTGTTGATGTTATCAGCACCGTTTTGCACTTTTTTCGGCATCGATTCACTAATCCACCAAGGCACATAAACGATGTCGCGTTGAAGACACCTCAGGGTGTCGCAAGAGAGACTTGGAACTCATGGCACAGGTGTTCAGGATTTTCGGATATCAAGCTGGGATTTTGTGTTGGTGGAAACTACATGCTTCAGAGTCCACAACATGCCAAACATATCCTCCTGTGGAATTCTGAAAGCAACAAAGACAGTAGGTCCCAATGGCATGGGATTGAATTCCAAAATGGAGTTCGTGCTGCAATACACATAACATGTGCTTGTGACAAGGTCATAGTCTTACACGATGGAACTCGGGTTTAGGTCTTGAATCTCCAACAATAGAATAACAGCGTCATTACTAGAAGCTTCTTGTTACTACTATATAGTAAGGCACTTGTTACTACAAGCGATGCACTTGTTTCTACTAGCTTCTTGTTACCAATTCATCAGATAATTTGCTAGCCACAGACTGAAATGTGTTGTTTATGCATTCTATGTTTCATGCAGTCATGTGTTTTTCATTTGTTGTTTTTTCTTAATCACGTCGACCCATCATTTGTATATAACCACTTACGAGTTCATTGCCATGTTCAAATGTAAAAAACTCATACTATACAAGAACTTCACCTGAAACGCAAAATAATGCAAAAACAAATAAAGGAACATCGTCGATTCTGTTTCAAGCTTTTGGTATTCTGATAGCTTGCCAAACTCAATCCCCACGCCCAGATCTCGACGGCCTGGACAGCACCAAGACCTATGGACCTATGATGCCCTTTGTTACTAGTAGCATCCTTGCTCCTAGTAGTGCGGCCAGGAGCCCCTAGTAGCGTCCTTGCTCCTAGTAGCGATGCCAGGAGCCCCTAGCATTGTCTTGCGCGCGGAACGGCTCTAAAGCCTGGTCTAGTCAAATCTCATGTTTTTCTTCGGCATGAACCTGTTTGCACACCCCTCTCCAAATGGAATGGCCTGACCCAACCTTATGGCGAAACGTAACGCTTACGGACCTATGACAAAAGCAATGATTCCAAGGATCAATGAAATGACAACCAACATGAACAAATCGAACAATTCTCTGTGTGTCTTGCCCACAGTCCCAGGCTGCCATTTACTCATAATGCTTAAGTAGCATGCTATACCCTTACCTTTGCAATGCTGCTAGGCTATAGGGAATGGTCTATGGCAAGTCTATGGCTGGTGTTAGTGCTCGCTATCCACACGTTCACACACCAATGATCTGCATTCAAATCAACCTCCACACACAGTGCGTATGTTGGGATCCAAGAGCCTAGAAGCGAATCAACTTCTGAGATTAAAGGAACGCATCAACAAAAAAAACACAGTAAGAATACTGTCTGCGTAGCCGATCTGGAATGCCTTGCTTTGATCGGAACAAAAGAAGCATATCTTAGAGCATTCTTGTTCGAATTTGTGGCACATTGACAGAGGGCCTTCAGAATCATTGCTGTGCTTTCATGTGTTTGTCCTTTTTGATAGGTAGTTTTATGTCTTTAAATAGGTAGTTGTCACCAAGTTGGGATGGGCATTGCGCTTGGGTTTTGGCTACTGAAAGAGCTGTGCTTCAAAAGGGACTTGGGCTTGGCAGGGCAAGACAGTCTCAAGCATAGAATGGCGCAACGACACCTAGGTATATAAAGGGTGAGCATACCTTATTGTCAGTTCCAAATGCTGTAGGGTATTCCACAGTCGAAGGCACGAGGCATTGCTGGGGCATTGTTTCGTTTAGCCATATCTTGTCTCAGTGTCTTCGTTCAAATCTTATGGAATCTGTTCGAACAAACTAAACAAACGCACTCAGAAGCTTTAGGACATGTCTGAAGTCAAGGTACAAAACAAGTTGTCTTAGGCTGCTCTGTACAATGCAGTTTCTGACCGGATTGAACAGCACCGTGTTATCATCAATAATATTATGTTTGAATGTGTTTGCTTTTTCCCCTATGTCATATTATGTCACATGCCCCTTGATAGAGGAAAAAAAACAACAGACCTCGTAGTTTTACCCTTGACCTGACCCCCAGCATCTTAATGTTGAAAGCATGTCTTAGGCCAAGCCACGCTATCTTGTCAAGGATCTGTTTCTTTCGGCGCTCCAAGCATGACACCTGGCAACAAAAGGCTGCGTAATATCGCTTGATCTTGACATCCAGCCGATCGGAAGTTCTTACAGTCTGCTGCACTTTAAGACTTTGACTTAACATCACTTGCCGACATCAAACTTCTTGATTGATCATGCTCACACACATTCAATGGTTGTGAAGGGATTCTTCTCTCTTGGCCTCCTTTTTGGCGTTGTAGTAAAAGCAGCTAAAGCAGCCCTGGCATGGCGTAGCCGTGGTCAACGTGTGTCAACGTCGTTTGAGCGATCTCCGCAGGACTACTGCGTTCAAAAACTTCCAGTCAAACTCCGAGCAATTGGTGTGCACTTAGCTACGTACCACCTTAGGTGTTTTTATCATGATTGGGTTTGATGGAAAGTGAGCAATCCTGACTAGTCCAGACCGGAATGATGCATCTGCAAGAAGAAATGAACGTCTTGCTCGCTCACACTGAATGAACCTTTGTGGAATTGATCCCGGAGGCCTCCATCACCCAGTGAACGCACAAGTGGTATCAGGCTGCAGTCGAACCAGAATAGCTGCGAACGTACTAGCTTCAGTAGCTAGCAGGCTTGAAGACCTCTGGATCTTGCTTTACCTAGATGCGATGGCCTCCAACCTACCAGCGATGGCTCTAATGGCGGCGGCCTCCACCCTAGAAGCGATGGCCTCCAACCTACTAGCAACCTATGATGCTTTAGACCTACTCATCAGGGCGGATAACTCAGAGCCTGCTATGGACGCGGTGCGTTAAGCGAAAGGTTCTCGAAGTTCTCGACTCGACACTTTCTGGAGAACCACTACATGGTACTTCGCGCACTTCGCATCCGTGCTGATCTTTATCTCTTGGTATGGGCTTTTGATGCGGCTGCTCTATGAGCTAGGTGTTTGATTTTCTTTGGCTGCTTGACTGGTGGCAGAATGTGATTGGCGCACTTGATCCTTTGTCCGGCACTGGCGAACTTTGCTCGAGAAAGCGCTTGTATGATTGAGTGAGCTGAACCAAGTCCAGCAATGCAAATGTTGGACGGAATCTCCAAGTAGCGTCCTTGCTCCTAGTAGCGAGGCCAGGAGCCCCTAGAAGCGTCCTTGCTCCTAGTAGCAATGCACTTGTTACGAAAATGTGACTTTTTTGTCGCCAATTGTCCTGTCATGACAGCATACGGTATGAGTGCATTGTCTTGGTACGCCTGACTCTGGGGAGTGCAAGTGGCCTGCAGTATGTAGTAGCTTTTGAGCTTGCTAGCTAAAAAGAAAGAGAAAGGAAGGTCAAAAGAAACAAAGGGGAAAAAGGAACGGCCTAAAGGTCTTACTTACTGACGTACTTTCTTGCTTTCTTAGCGTAAGCCGTCCGCCATGCATCCAATTACATCTGCCAAATCGTCACCAGAGAGAGCATATTCGGCCCTGCCCTTCACTAGTAACAAGAAGCTACTAGGAACAAGTGCCACGCTACTAGGAACAAGTGCCTTACTAGTAATAACAAGAAGCTATTAGTAACAAGTGCATCGCTTCTAGTAACAAGCGAGGTTGAAGAAGTGGAGAAAGAGCGAACTTGGCGCTGGGAAGACCCATACACAAAAACATGTGCAACAAGGGCACTGGTGTGGCCGCGCATGCACAAGTATTCACTTTCAAAGCAAAGCCAGGCCAAATACAGAAATCATTAGGCCCAAAAGCAGCAACACCAGCTCCAGGGTAAGGAGGCACTAGAGCTCGAGCTCTTTAAGTATGCTCCCCGCCAAGGGGCCGGGTCCTTCGGCGGCTCCCTTACCTTGAAACCGATCTTTTCCCTTTTTTTTCCATTTAATAGTTGTTGTTCTTTTTCTGTCTTTCTTTCTGTCTGTCAGCCAGACTTTCAGACCTTTCTTCCCTTTTGCTTCAAGAAACCTTGCTGTATGAAACAGTTCCTAGATTCTTGAAAAACGTGACCTTTGGACCCTAGTTCAATGGCAAAGGATAATTTTAACCCTCTGCAGCTCAGCAGAATCTGGCTACAGTCAAAGAAATTGTGACAACAAATCGTGGTAACCCTCAAAGAAATGGATAGACAAAGTGCTAAAAATTGGCTTTAGCTTTAGCTATTTCATGCGCTTTGATGGTTCTTTCATGTGCGTTGCGTATTGCTCCGTTTTGCTTTCTGGTTATCTTTTTTCATCTGTTATGTTACTTTATGCACGTTTCTAGGTTGAACCATTGAACCATGTGCTCAAGCTTGGGTTCCTTGTTTGCTGAGCGATGTTGCTTGCCAAACTGCTCTCAATATTCCTTGAGGGTCATAACGTCACAAAAAGCTGTTCATATCTGGCCTCTTTTTTGGACGAATTTCTCTCCAAGTCCTAACCTGACTGTACAGGTGAAAAGCAAAAACGGAGTTGACGTCGACTAAGTCAACTGAGTGCTTTTTGGGGTCAACTTGAGCTAACGAAGCGCCTAACGCATCAGCTCTAAGCAACTCAACCAAGCATCGCACTAAGCACGCTTCAAATTGGTCTTCAAAAACGCCAACAGTGAGAACATTTATGATGATTTAGTCGGTCGAGTCTACTCTATGTGTCTGAGAGAAAACGCATTTCCATAATTGTTCCATTCATTTTAAGATTATGCCTCTTCGGCGCGAAGGATTGGTTGACCCCAAAGCATTTCCAGCGCATGCGTCAATTCATTTTGGCGCCTTACCATGCGTCTTCCTGGCAGTGATCGGCAAAAGTATGTCTCATCGTCAAACAAAGTGTCAGGTGCAAGCTTCGACTGTACATTTTGTCAATTGTCGGACGGGACTTCATCTCAAAGAATATAAGCATCCCTTTAATAAAGCCTGGGTGATTTTTGAGTTTCGCTTACCTTCTCTTTTTTGGACAAGCAAGCACGTTCAATAACTGAGAAGGACATTGCCGAGATGCTAAACCACTAGTGCCAAAGGCATCTGGTGATCGACCAACAGGAAGTTCCTGAGAGGGCAGCGAAGGAAACCAATAAAAAATGTAGAAATGTCTAAAGGTCTAAAGAAAAAGGAAGGAAGGTCTGAAGAAAGAAATTGAAGAAAGAAAAGAAAGCAAGCATGAACTCGGTACAAAAGAAAAGAACGGCTCTACCAGACTCACTACGAGACTAACGGAGGGTGCTTGTTGCCTTCTGTCTTGGCCCAAAGCACAAAAGACCATACAACACAAAACCTGGACCTAGTAGCAATGGCCTCCACCCTTGTAGCAATGGCCTCCACCCTAGTAGCAATGGCCTCCACCCTAGTAGCAATGGCCTCCACCCTTGTAGCAATGGCCTCCAACCTAATAGCGATGGCCTCCAACCTAGTAGCAATGGCCTCCACCCTAGTAGCAATGGCCTCCACCCTAGTAGCAATGGCCTCCACCCTAATAGCGATGGCCTCCAACCTAGTAGCAATGGCCTCCACCTTAGTAGCAATGGCCTCCAACCTAATAGCGATGGCCTCCACCCTAATAGCGATGGCCTCCATAGCGATGGCCTCCAACCTAGTACCAATGGCCTCCACCCTAGTAGCGATGGCCTCCACCCTAATAGCGACGGCCTCCGCCCTACAAGAAAAGAACCTTCTTAGGGGTTAAAAACTTGTCGGGATCTTATTTGTCCCTCCTTGGCTTGTTTGGCATTCGTTTTCAATTACCTCTTCTGAAAAACAATACTGCCTGGGTCGTTTGACTTTGACAACTCTTTATCTTCCTTCTTCGCCAAACTTTAGAATATGTGTTGTTGTTGTTTTTCTTTGTAGACGTCTTCTTTTCCATTCGAGTCCGAAAATAAACAAGAAGTCTAAAGGTCCTCCGATCTTCGAAGGGAAAAAGGAAAAGACATACAAAAGAAAGGTTACAAAAAAAACGTACCAAGAATAGTATACAAGAAATAAGTAGAAAGAAGGAACTCATTCTGTGGTTTTGAGATTTGAGGCTGCTGCTGCCCGAGGTGGGCCCTTGGTGAGCGAAACTGAGGAGGATACTCCTGGACAAGCTTTTGCGAAAGGATGATCTTTTGAGGAGGTATACCGTATACCTTTCAACTTGAGGCCGAGGGTAGGTGACGAAAGCTAGCAGGGGTGCATCCGGACTGGTGGGACATCAAGCGGAGTGAGGCAAATGCTCATGAGGTAAAACGTTGTGAACATGTAAGACACACAAACAGCAATGACACAACCAACCTTAGAATTGAAGTCCCCGATAATTAAGGAAGCGTGGCTGGACTTTGCCACACTGTTCGATGCATCCGATGTGTTCACGAACCTGTGAGCTTGTTGAATCTGTTGCACCGTATCCCGGAGGAGTTAAGCCAAAGTTGATGCCATAAGAGATGCCCGAGAGGTGTCCCAGAGGCGTCCGAGGGGGGAGTTGAACCCACGGGGGGGGGGGGGGGGGGCCCCATGAAGTTTTCACGTGATGCGGCAATCCCGAGGATTCCAGCCCCTCACTTGCTAAAGCAAGGACAACTCCAGCTAGCTGGTGCTAGCTTTCGTGAACAGCTCAAAAGGTGTCAAATGATGTTTCGGAATTTGAACCATGAAATCCCGTCTTTCATGTGCTTTGAAGCGTCTCCCCTTCTCCTTCTTTCTTTCCCGCTTCTTCCGTCGATCTAATGTCGGAACCTGCAGAGGTTAAGTGCTGCTGCTACTGCAACCAATATGCCAAGTTGGGCCTGAGAAGCCTAGATGTGAGAAGAAAGAGATCATGGTCGTCCCTGCAAACAAGTTGGCACCGGACCTTTGTCTTTTCTATTCTTTCCTTTTCGATTCAGACTTGTCTGTTGGACTTCGAGTTCACGACAGGCTGAAGACATGCGGAGCCTGCCTCCGAATCGCTCAGCACGTCGGCCGGTTCCTTTGCCGCCGCCCATACGGCGTGCAGACCTGAGTTCTTGATAGTCTTGCAATCCTTCGCCTAGGAACAAGTGCATCGCTTCTAGTAACAAGTGACTTACTAGTAGTAACAAGAAGCTAGTATGAAACAATAGAAACAATATGCCGCACGGTCCATTTTTGACGTCGAGCCTGCTAGTTATGACTAGTGACAAATGCCTGTTTGTTCGTTTCAAGTGAGTAGGAAGGCATGGTTGTTTAGAAGGTCGAGTCTGTTTCAGCAGCAATCGCAGCACGCTACAATGTGCTTCTCTACACATGGGAGGAACTGGCCTCACCATCTCCTCAAACCAGAGAGGAGTCTCCTGCTTGGCCTAGCTTGAACGGCTCAACAGTCCACAGAGATGGCAACGGAAAGCCTTCTCATTGTGCATTCCTTTTCTTTAGGAGAAAACTAAGCTACAACTCGCCATCGCTATTAGGTTAGAGGCCATCTCTATTAGGGGGAGGCCCTACAAACAGGTTTTTCTACATTGAGAAAGGGGATAGAATGGGCTAAAGGGATGGCTGCAAGCTCAGAGAGTCTAGCTGAAACTGCTGTGTAAAGTCTAGCTGAATCAGCCAAAAACAAACTGCCTACTTACTTATGATGTATTTACTTACTTACTTGGAACACGTTGAGGGTCATTAACTACCCTTGACCCTGACGGTTGAGAGAC